ATATAGTTGTCTATTAACCTGCTGAATGCCTTAGAAGAAGTGTACGTCTAAAAGTTATTTTTACTTTTTCTGCCTTACTTTATAGTATAGTTGAATAGCCCAGATTTACAGTATAGTGACCCCAATTTCCAGCTGCTTTAGAAGGAACAGCCCTGATGACCTATAATGAAATACGTGTCCCTAACACCTAAGCGTTTTGAAAAGTGTATTGCATTATGTGTTGCAGGTTTTTTCCTGCCTTGATCTGAATTGCCAGCTGGACTCGTTCTTGAAAGGGCTGAGTGACTGACAGCGTGATGGGCTGTGATTGGCAGGCAGGTACAGTATGCTTCATGCTGTTACTCCACTGATCAGATGTACAGCACATCAATATTTTTCCATTCGTTAAAACTTCAGACGTTTTGATGTCAATTATGCAGACATTCATGCATTCTGTGGGCAAAGAGGTTGTTGAGTAATTTTAATCCTGTAAGACGAAAAGCTTACAGACATTTATAATTGGATCCATCACTTTTGAGTGTTGCCTCCCAACAGGAACTTTGCAACTCTGTTTATAGCATGTGGCTTGGCGTCTGTCTGCCACCAGTCAACTTTCAACAATTTTCTCTGAACTACAAAAATAACTACCGTACTAACGACATTAATTCAGTGATTATTATTGGTGGTTCTCCGTTTATGCAGTTTAGAACATCTCATTTCCAAAGGTCATATTATAATAATAATAATAATAATAATAATACATTACATTTATAAAGCTCTTTTCCTGGTGCTCAAAGCGCTTAATTATTATATGTGTATATACCTGTAGACCATAACACACTGTAGGATTACAGATAAGTGGAACACACAGCATATTCCCCTACCAGGGCACACTTTAAATTTAAATTAAATATCATGATTTCATTTACTTACATTTTTATTATTTTATAATTAAGGGACAAACAAGTAAATAATCGACGCCTCAAGCAAAAATATTTTGATGATATTTGAAACATTGCTCACAATGTCCTGATGTGTTCCATAAAGCTAAGGAACGTCTTTTATGTTTGTAATTATTTCCACACTCCTCATCTCTGTAAATCTGCCTACGAGTCGTGTGTGTACTAAAGCACCAAAGTGACCGGTCAACTCAGTAAAGAATGGGTTTTGAAATATTGGCATTGCTTGAGCCTTGGGCAACAGAAGGCTACATTTCTGAGCCGCATAGCGAGCCTTTGGAGCAGCCATGTTGACTCATTATATATGATTGACTATTGAAATGTGGATGTGTAAGAGGCAGAGCCTGAATTGCGACATAAAATGACGTTGTCTCGTGAAATGTTGCTCGGCCTGCCTTGTGAAACTGCTCTAGCTTCGAGCAAACAATACTTTTTTCTTCACTTCCACCTCCGTTACCCACACCGTGCGTGACACTGATTTAGCAGTTTTTCTTGGTGGCATCTGGTGTTCTGTGTAGTCCAAGGCATGTTGGCAAACTTAATAGCTCCACATTCTTAGCATATTGGCTCTTGAACGCTTTCACTGGCGGGAAAAAAATGGGTGGTGAGAATGAATGAGTAGCAATGTCTCAACCTTGATGAAGCGTTTGTCTGTTGAATGCTCTATCCTTTATCAAAACAAAAAATACTCTGGAAAGGATGATTAATTTTATTATTATTATAATCTCATTATTTAAAACTAAAATGGATCTCTTTTCTGAGCAAAACGTTTTTTCTTAGCATTTTCTTCATATTCCTTTGTTCTTTGTCGTTGTGTGCAGTACGTTTTTGAACCAAATATTGTTATAGTAGATCACAGTTAGTGAGTTTATTTTGAGCATCAGCTTGTAAAGAGAATGGGTAATGATTTATTAAGCAGTGAGTTATAACATGAGCTAAAATAGTTAATGTGTATTGCCTTCAAACACGCAATGACAAACATTCATTGAGTAAGTGCTTGAGTTGTGCATTAAAATTGTATTTGGACCCTTAGCTCACAGAAGGACTTCCACAGAAAATTAGCAATTCAAACAGCCGTGTCAAAAACTGTCACTCTTTCAAAGAACAGCCAGATGGTGATTAACTGAGCCAGACAGTGTTATTCTTCAAAATGACTCAAACAAGGACACTGCATGAACAGTAAGAAACATAGCAAAACTGAGCCTTGTTTCAATTGAAACATCATAGACCTATTCCTATTAAAATAAATGAGAACGCTATAAAAGCACTTGAATTACATAAGTAGAATGACAACAGTGTGAGGCAGTATACAGGAGGAGGTCAGGGATATGACCACTGTGGTTCACCATTAAAAGAGGTTTGCAATCACAAAAAGGTCATTCCATTGTGTCCTGGCAAGACAGGGGCTCTTTGAAGGGAGCAATTACAGCATTCACTGCTGCCAGGGCGCTGACTTATTTCTCTTCAGAGAGTGCGCTGTACACATAGTCCATTTTGCTTTTGCCCTATTTACCATCATTCTGTCTTCACATGCTGTTCTGAGCTCTTGTTACGACTGCTGTGGCTTCCAGTACAAAGACCTAATTACAGTAATGGCAAGGGATAAACAGATAAACAAGCAAGCAGATGAACTGCAGGCCGTGAAGGCAGTTTTATAATATGTAAACCTCCCACGCTGCTTGAATAAAAATCCATCCCAACCAGCCAGTTAGCTAGTCAGGAAGATCAGCTAAGGGCCACACCAAAGCAGATTACAAACAAGCATTAATATGAAACATGCTCTGCGTAATTATTCAGGAGATGTCCACCAGTCTCATAAAGCATTCCATTAAAATTAAATCAAATTTCCTGTCAAATATATTTTTGAATTGGAATGAATATGTTTGAACATCTGCATAAGTGTGTATGTGAGGTGTGAATGTATTCAGAGCATGTGCGGTGAGCGTAGCTCAAGGCAAGATAGCAGAATAGGGAATGGGTGACTAATGAGAACTTGTTTTACCACCGTTGCCTCTTCTCTCTGGGTGCAGCGCTTAATCGTGACTGTGCATCGTGTCCGTCATTTAACCATGGGCCCCTGTCTTCACAATGCAGGGATTGATGCAGGTGTTGGAGGATACCGGCGGAGATCTAGGAATGTGCTGTTGTCCTTGAAACTGCATAGTCCAGGATTATTGATCCAAGGAAAACCACTCAATCATGACTGTGTGCCTTCTGCCGAGGCAGCAACATTCCCTTGCCTGAAAAGGTCCCAAGGCTTCTGGTTTTTAAACACACATTTTTTACACACAAATATGTGGGTGCCTGAATTTACAACACACTCTCACTCCATAATCGTCCAGGAGCGACGTTTGGCCAGGGTCCCGTGGCGTGCAGTTGTGACGCTCCTAGGCTCCTTCAGCTTCATAAAGGGACGCAAATAGCTTTCAACTGATTGCAATGTATTCCCATCTGCGGCGGGAATTGACGCTCATCTGAGACTGCCAAGGCACACNCACTCTCACTCCATAATCGTCCAGGAGCGACGTTTGGCCAGGGTCCCGTGGCGTGCAGTTGTGACGCTCCTAGGCTCCTTCAGCTTCATAAAGGGACGCAAATAGCTTACAACTGATTGCAATGTATTCCCATCTGCGGCGGGATTTGACGCTCATGGAAGCACGGCATTCGTTTGTGTCGGCTGCCCTTAAAGGC